ACACATGCTTCTCATTATAGATAAGCTTACAGATATCCTGTAGCTCCTCATCACAATGGCTGTCTGTGGCACTGTTTAAACACTTGAGACTTTTTTTGTCCTGGTAAGGAGGATTAACTGTCATGGAATGATAGATGTTTAAAGGCCCTCATGGGGGCATTCACAGGATGAGGAGACATGACATGGCCTAAGAGGTGAGCAAATAGATAATCATGATTTATGGCCTCTGTTTGGCAAGATTTCAAAGTACCACTCAAATATTTTGTTTCATGTGCAGAACAATCAAGATTAAATTAGTTATTGATGCTTCACAGTCCTTTTCTCTCTCCTTTCACCATTATTACAGCCCATATAAGAGCTCATAGGCTTCCTAAATACGTTAATCTAATGTAAACTGCAGTTATAATCTATTAGTGAGCCATCTAGTCACAATATAACACGTTTGCATATTTGGCAGGCTGAGACTAGACAGTGTGGGTGGCATGTGTGATCTACCAGTGAGTGCTCAAGCAAACAACACATAAATAGGATTAAAGAAGAGGAAAATAATTAATCTGTAATCCTGTTTGCTGTATTTTGTGTCTTGTGAAGAGATGACAGTCAGTTCCGTCTTTTTGGCTAACCATAGGCTTTATTTAGCAAACCTGGCACTTCTTCAAAATTAATTTTCTTCACCTAGCATGCGAAATGATTCAGTAGCCTACATGCTTTGATATGCATATTGTGCTATTCATTGCAACAGTTTGGAAAACAAATCCTTTAACAAATGGGTACATATATGTGCCATACAAATGCGATTTTTACTAATATCCTTGTATGTGTACAGTATGTCGTTTGCGTAGGATACATTTGCTTTCGGTGCGCTATTGCCATCTAGTGGACAGCAAGCTCAACTACTAATTGTTTTAAACAGTTGGTAGGCAGGCATTTTAATTCAATGTAAGAAGCTAAATCTGATATCAAACAATTGCAATACCTTTTTTTTTTTATGTTTCTGAAAGGAATCTCTTATACTTACCAAGGCTACATTTTATTCGGTCAAAAATATACTAAAAATTAATATTGATTAATATTCCTGTGATGGTAAAGCTGAGTTTTCAGCAGCCATTACTCCAGTCTTCATGTTACATGATTCTTCAGAAATCATTCTAATATGCTGATTTGGTGCTCAGGAAACATTTCTTAAAAACAGTTGTGCTTTTTGTGGAAACTTTTTTCAGAATTCTTGATCATTCTTGATGGAAAGAAGCATTTATTTAAAGCATAACGTTGTAAATGTCTTTACTGACACTTTTGATTAATTTAATGCATTCCTGCTGAAAAAAAGTATTAATTTCTTTTTTTTATTATTACTGAATGGTGGTGTACTGTATGTGACATGGCATAAAAGGATTACTCATTCATTTGAGAAAGTCTTTTAAGGACACAAGGTTATCCAGGGGACAGTGTTTTCAGATCATAGCAAAACATCTGCAGAGCTGTTTTTTGGATTTGAGTTTTCTGTTTGTCTGTCAACCTCATCATTTCCTACTAATGATTTTTTCATAAACATCCCTTGTTGTTCTGCTACTGCACTTGGGGATGTATTACAGGTGAATATGCTATTTTCTCTCTATTTTAATCAAAAAGAAACCTTGCCGTATAAAAATATTGGTTGCACTTTATTTTGCAGTATGTGCACTTACATGTACTTACAGTGTACCTACCTAAGAAAGTACTGTACTGTACTGTAAGGTAACTACATGGGGTAGGGTTAGGTTTAGGTATAGGTTCAGGGTTAGTACCTAGTTATTACCTAGTTATTAATAAGTACATAGTATGCACATGAGTAGCAGGACTGTAAAATAAAGTGCTACCAAAATATTAATAAAGCCATTTTTTGACATGACTTTTATAATCAAGCAAATAAAGTGCAAATTGGTACATAAAATGATACAAACTTGTATTTTTGTTTTAAAGTGACAAGACCCTTTTGTCAATTTGTGTTTATTTGACGAAATATTTAATAAAACACTTTACGTTATCATATACTACATACTAATAATGATATGTCACCTAAGGCTGTGAAGATGGTTTCCAGATAACAAGACACACACAAAAAACAAAAAAAAAACATTTGAACACATAAAGGGTTGGAAGCATGTTTTTTTTAATCATTGCAATGATAAACACAGAATAAATTATTATATAAAATAACAAAACACATACAAATAATTATTAGAAGAAAATAGAATATGCAATGAAGCTTTAACTCTGCATCAGTTTAACAAAAGCACCCACACACAAAACCAAGAATAGACCTGAGCACAATCATGTACCTGTCATAACTGCACATTCCACAATTTGTAAAAGAATGTTGATTCTATTAAAGACGTGGTCGTTCAGTTTAGCTGAGTCATGTGTAGCTCATGCTGCCATGGTCTGTGCCGGCAGGAGGGCAGGGCAGGAGTGAGGCGGGTGATTATGCTGCTCTTCAGCTTCCACCCTTCCAGCCCCCAGCTTGAGCCACTGATATGAACAGCCGTGATGGTTTATCAGACCCAATGCCTTGACCCCTCCCTATCACAGAAGTGCATGCTCGTAGCCATTAAAAATGAGAGTCAATGTCATTTAACATCATAGATGCGTAAGCACTTCACAGTTTTACTGTTTTTGCTGTTGTTTTCTTGCTGCATTTGAGCCACGTTTGCCATTATGTGTGGTAAAATCACACCAAAGAAAGCAGATTCTACATGTTTATATTATTTTGAAAACTGTTATTTAATATGAGGAGTATGATTGGTAATGATAGTAGAATAAAAAAAACAGTAAATTGCTATCAATACATCTCTAACACTTTAATTATCAACTATAGAGACATTTGCATCTTGTACATGTAAATTGCATAAGTAGCCTATAGGTTTAAATGTATTAATGCTACCAACCAACATGCATCTAATATTGAGTAAGATGCACCCCTTAAGAACAATGTGGATTTACTTTTAATCTGTAACCTGTTTTGATATGTTAAGCATGTGCAGGATGATGATGCATCAGCCAATGTGTTATTATAGGAAAAAAATAGGCCTAAAAATATTTGCTAATTTAGCGGTTATAACACAAAATGTCAAATATTAAAAGAGCGGGGCTTCAAAATAAAAACGGTAACACTTTACAATACGGCGGCACTAATATGCATTAATTCATGCTTAACTAATGAAGAGATAATCATGAGTTAATATATAACTCATGAAGAACTAAACCAATTATTAATAATTACTGCATCAGCAACAAATGAACATTCTATATGATTCATAGATCAAGTAATCAATAAATTGTTATTAGTTAAATGTATCATAATGTATTAATTCCCAATAACATTATATTAACTATAGTGTAAATCCATGTCTTAATTACCACAATGGGTCGAAGCCATGCATTTCAACTTCCAGTTGTCTGCTTTAATTAGTCATTAGCAAATGATTTGCAAAGGTATCATTATGTTATGACTTTACTTGTTGAGGCACATGACAAACTAACTAATTCAAAATCCATAACCACAATGACATATTACTTAACAATTAGTTAATAGTTCTGTGCCTCAACAAGTAAAGTCATAACATAATGATACCTTTGCAAATCATTAGCTAATGATTAATTAAAGCAGACAACTGGAAGTTGAATAGCTTTGACCACTGTGGTAACTAATTAACATATGAATTTACATCATTAGTTAATATAATGTTAGGGAACTAATAGGCTATGGCACATTTAACTAATAACAATTTATTTATTACTTAATCTATGAATCGTATAGAATTTTCATTAGTTGCTGATGTAGTAATCATTAATAAATGGCTTAGTTCTTCATGAGTTATAGGCCTACATTAACTCGTTATTATCTGTGCATTAGTTAAGCATGAATCCAGTTGTCTGCTTTAATTAGTCATTAGCAAATGATTTGCAAAGGTATCATTATGTTATGACTTTACTTGTTGAGGCACATGACTAGCTAACTAATTCAAAATCCATAACCACAATGACATATTACTTAACAATTAGTTAATAGTTCTGTGCCTCAACAAGTAAAGTCATAACATAATGATACCTTTGCAAATCATTAGCTAATGATTAATTAAAGCAGACAACTGGAAGTTGAATAGCTTTGACCACTGTGGTAACTAATTAACATATGAATTTACATCATTAGTTAATATAATGTTAGGGAACTAATAGGCTATGGCACATTTAACTAATAACAATTTATTTATTACTTAATCTATGAATCGTATAGAATTTTCATTAGTTGCTGATGTAGTAATCATTAATAAATGGCTTAGTTCTTCATGAGTTATAGGCCTACATTAACTCGTTATTATCTGTGCATTAGTTAAGCATGAATTAATGCATATTTGTGCACCCATATTGTTGTGCTACCATAAAAACAATAACTTTTACTCCACAAATCTAAAAACGCTGATGTAACTTAAAGGGGTCATATGATGCTTTTTTAAAGATCATTATTCTGTGTGCACATTTGGGTGCATTATGCTAATATTTCCACATAGTGAGGTAGATATGTGGGGGCGTGTTAGAACGAGCCGTTTTAGGGGGGCGTGGCAGAGTCTTAACTTTGATAAAGAATATCTCTTTGGTTTTGAGACTTTAGTCTTTGCAACTTCAGGGATCTTATCTATGCACAATCAGCTTGTAACACTCCAAAGAGAAAGGAAAACTTGAAATCGCATCATATGACCCCTTTAATGCAATGCCATATAGGCTATCACTCTTGACCAGACACTCAAAATTAAATCAATTAATGTTGATATTCAGATGAAATGGTCAAATTAAAAATAGCGTAGCCATTCATCAAATGTGCTGCGATGAGATTTTATAGGCTACTTGTTGCGTAATGCATCACTGATCTCACTCAAGAGTCAAGACTCCAGTCGGAATCCCGGCATGATAACAGAGGCTCTTCTAATATGACGCAGAGAACGCTTAACATTGCGCAGCTTCAACTGTCACGTGATCGGGCTACCTCTCACTGGCCGCCCGGTGAGATGAAGACAGCGACCGAGGGGAACTACATTTCTGCCAACTGCTCTCTTCTATGCTATATTTATTACGTCGAGATAGGCAGAGTTTGTGTTTAATTATGTGATCGAAAATATATGGCAAAGCTGCCGAACCGCAGTATACCCGACGAATTATTCGCGTTGTTTAAAAACTCAATATATATTTATTCACCTGTGTTTAGATAGCCTAGTAGCCTATACATATATCTTACTTGTGCCACGCCGTCTTATAATGCTCTCGGACACCGAAAAAGAGTTGATTGTACAGATATGGGACAAAATGCTTCCAGTGGCAGAAGAAATTGGATCTGAGGCTCTTTTAAGGTATGCTGTCTTAGATCAAGAAAATATAGGCTTAGCCTACAGACCGATATTCCTATACGCAAAATATTTTTACAGACTGTTAAACATTCTGGGATGTTGCCTTTCTTTAAATTATACAAAACTTGGTCTGACTTACTCTTTGGTGGCTCCTTGATAGTTCGCCGTTCAATTTTCCGAATATCAAAAGTCTACAATGATTGATGGTCTTGTCGTATTTGGCACTTTCCCATGAGTGATGACGCAAGCAGCAGAGTGGGAGGAAATACTGTGGGGGTCTCGTGCCGTCTGCATCTTGCTGACCTTGTTTTTCTCCCTTGTTAACTGGTTTACAGGATGTTAACAACGTTCCCCAAAACAAAGACATACTTCGCTCATCTAGATATCAGCCCCCGTTCAGAGCATTTACGCTGCCACGGGAAGAAAATCGTCCAGGCTTTAGCCGAGGGTGCGAGGAACATAAGCACACTTACTACTACGTTGGCACCACTAAGCAGGTTCCATGCCTATCAACTGCGAATACATCCTACAAACTTCAAGGTGTTCATGTAATGTCTATCTGTCCACTTAACTTATCCAGTGCAAATATAATGTGCGATGTTTCCTTTAGCTCACAAACGTCAACTTCTCACATTTTTTCCAGCTTTTCAATCATTGCATCCTTGTGACGTTGGCCTGCCATATCGGTGAAAACTTCACACCTGTTGCACACGCGGCGATAGACAAGTTTCTTTCGGCATTCTCAGCTGTTTTAGCCGAAAAGTTCCGATGAAGACCCCTCCAAAGAAGAATGGGATGGTTCTGAGAACTCTATCTTTAATAAATAAATAGCCTAATACATGTTTTATGTGTGTCTTTGTTGTTTGTCTGAATGTAATGCCATGGAATAATCAATTAAAAATCAATTGAAAATTTAAAAAAAAAAAAAGTGTTATTTTTTTTAGCATTCTCAGCTGTTTTAGCCGAAAAGTTCCGATGAAGACCCCTCCAAAGAAGAATGGGATGGTTCTGAGAACTCTATCTTTAATAAATAAATAGCCTAATACATGTTTTATGTGTGTCTTTGTTGTTTGTCTGAATGTAATGCCATGGAATAATCAATTAAAAAGCAATTGAAAATTTAAAAAAAAAAAAAGTTATTTTTTTTATTTTATTTTTTTAGTTAGCTGTGTGTGTGTGTGATTTTTACTGTGATGCAGTCAGTGCAATTTGATTTGTCGTTGAGTTGTGAAACTGACTATTAAATAGGCAACAGTATTGCACTTGATCATAGGTGATGTTTGATGTGGGTGTGGTGCTATCCAGACATAAGTGCTGAAATCTTGGCCGAAGTCCAAAGGAAATGAGACGCTCTATAACATTTATATAGACCTGCCATTACCTGTGGATAACATATACCTTAGGCCTATATTAAATGAAATAGAAAAGAAAAAGGTAGGATTTCTGTAATATTACTAACAAACTAAATGTTTTAAATGCGCAGGTTTATATATTTATCATCAATAAATCTTATTTGTTTCAATTTTATACATTTTAACTAATTGATTTGCTTGTTCCATTGCTAGTCAAACATTTAACCATATTTGAAGCATGATGCTAAGCAATTTGAATAAAAGCATATAATTAATTATTTAAATAGAATAAAATAAACGGAAATAGTTAATAATAATAAATAAATAAATAATAATAAAAACGATCTTATTTTTTTTGAGTGCAGAAATGTTTAACCCTTATTTGTTTCTTACCGGTTTGGTAAGATTTGACTGACAAAAATGCATCACATTAGTTTGTGAAAACTGTGCCTTATCCAAATGAATGAAAATATGCAATTCAAATACAAAGTTGTTAACTTTAGGCCTAAATACGTTTATGATAAGGCCTAAATTAAAGTTTATAATAAAGTATTTTGGATCTTTATTGAAGAAAATTTGGACATTAAGTTTGCATCAGTTATACATCTTTCGTCTTGTCAAGCGTGTAAAAAAAGAGGGAGGGACGGGCCGGAAGTGGAAATCATATCAGAATGATAAAGACATCAAATAGCCTACTGGCCTTAGCTATACCCGAAACTGTGCAACATTCCTGTAAGTTTAAAAAAAATTGTGAATATTTGCACTTTTGAAATTATATCATACTTAATGTGAAATTCATTATGTAACCCCTTTTGATGTTAAGACAACTCAATGGACAACGAAATCGTGTCAATAAATTATTATTTATTTATTTTTGCTGTGCATTACACAATCTCAGTAGGCTACATAATTTCCTCGTTCAGTCGATGAATCAATTATACTGCTTTCTTAGGGCTGACACAGCAACAGCCAGGAACTTCTGCCACGCAGCTTGGATGTCTGGGGTGAACTCAGTCCTCATGCGTGTAGCGATCACCACGGTCAGGCAGTCACCAAAGAGCTGGAAGAGAAGTTGAGACAAGTAAAGCACAGCTCAAACATAATCAGCAACTTCATAGCCACTGCTCTGAGGCGCAAACCTGGAAATTGCCTGGGTCGACTTGCAGTTTCTCCGAGTGAAGCTCGCTAAGGGAAGCGTAGGTGTTCTTGATATCATCCATGTTTTTAAGAGCCATCTCCAGACCTTGGAGCACTACAGTCCCGTGCGCTGCGACCTTTGGGTTAGCCATGATTGCCTCGGAGTTAAACAGGTTTCCAAACCCACCAAAGTACCGCCGAGTCCAAGGGTAGACCACCAAGAGTCTTGAGACCAGACAATTAATACAAGAACAGTAAGGCCTTAATTGTAACAAGCTAATGGCTGATTACAAGCACATGCTTTGAAGAAATACACACAATAAAATATAGGTTATCGAACAACTCAAGCAGACCAGAAATAAGAGTAGCTTACCTAGTCAAGCTCTCGAGGCCCACCGACTTGTAGTCGAGTTTGGCGAATACCGCCTGTATCGCAGCGCGTTCCTCAGCTGTCCACTGAACCATCGTGTCTTGTGGCTTTACAACTGGACATAGGTTTAAATAGGGCCTTATAGGCCTCCGCCCATGTATTTCGGGCAGATGTGTTTGGCCGATAGTGCGGAGGAAAAAGGCGGCAGCTGACCGATAAACTCCATATCCGTTTAAATTAAGTTTATAGTAGCATAGCTACACTGATAGTGTTTCATAGAGCGTGGTTCTTTATTTAGGTTTCTTGTTTATTTATTTAACCTGAATAGATTGAGTTCGTTGCTAGGTTGCAAATTATAGGCTAGGTTATAAAGGTAGCAAACATAGGCTATTATTTGCCTAGAGATCTCCATACCCATACTCCATACACGTGGTCTCGTGTGAAAATAATTGCCTTCTCAAGAAATTATTTTATTTCTCAGCTCTTGACTTAAACTGAGGAAATTACCGAAGTAATTTGAAACCCAAACTTTTAAAACATCAGTGAAATAGCCTAATCTTTTAAATCATTCAAACAATTGCCAATTTGAGTTAGCCTAATGTCTCTCCACAAGTACGAATGTTCTTATAATAGGGGAGACCGAGGATGGTTGTAACACTTTTTGTTTCAGCATCAGTAACTCAGTGGCCGTTTGTGCTAGATGTCTCAAATTTTGATACATAACCACATTTGTCTACTCCAATTAGAACTCACTTGGATGTGTACTGCATAATCGTGAGTTATGTCAAATACAACGAATCCCGTTGTTAATCTACCCCTGGGTGAGTTGTAACTCTAGCTGGGGATATCATATGTCTGTGCTTAAATGTAACACACTATCCAATTTTTGCATAAACATAATTTAAGAATAAAGAGAAAAACAGTCCTGATCCTGAATAACATGAACCATTTAAACCTACAAAAAAAACATTATATTGTACTTTTTAAAACTTTAAATGTAGCGCAAAAAAACAGCGCGTGTTTGTGTAAGTGTGCGTTTAAGTGCACGGTATTCCTGTCACATAAGGGTTCCGTAGCTATGTTTCCACGATCCACCTATTTTGATGTGAATTTTGAGATATAGCATAAAAACGCTGGATGGAACCATCAAGATGTGCATAAATTCTTATAATGCTTATATTAAAAAAAACTTGTGCGTTCAATTGAGGCAGATCTTTTTTTTCTCTGTTGGGAGACATGCGCATAAATCTTGATATGCAACAACAAAACTCATGTGACTTTGCCTCAGCAGAAGATGTGATCGATAACTGGACTCATTGGAATCATATAGGGGTTGCTTGTAACATTTTTAATAAACTGTTACAACTATCCCCAACTCAAACAGCCATAACAGCAAACTGTCTTAGCATGGGTTTGAAGTTAGCATAAATGCAAAGCATCAAATTAATCCGAGAAACAGCTACTTCAGGTCATGCAAGTTAAATAATTGTACACTGTAAAAAAAATTCCGTAAAATTTACGGTAAAAAAACGGCAGCTGTGGTTGCCGGAATTTTACTGTAAAAAATAGCAACGTTTTAGGTTTTACGGTTTTAACTGAAATACCGTAATTTCATTAACTGATATAATTTACCGTTAACCATTTAACAGGTTTTTACTGTAGCATTTTTACAGTCTTTTACCGTTAAATTCACGGTCATTTTTTACAGTGATCTACAACTCAAGGATTGATATGCAAAATAATCTTGTTTAAAAGTTTTACTTTCTTAGCTGAAAATCTTTTTTTTGGTCATAAAATCTACAAATTTGCTCACAATCACATGCAGTTTGTCTTGTGTTCTCAAAAAGAAGATGGGAGTGTATGATATTGATGATGACCACAGCTCCTTTCTGATCTGTCAAACTTGCAGTGTTACATCTACCCATGTTACAACACTCCCCGGTATCTCCCGGTCTCCCCTATAATAGCCTAGCCTACCACTTATATCAGACATGAAGTAGAATAATATTATAGTAGTTATTATAGTATAATAGCCTAATACAAAAATAAATATTATAATATTATATCAGACATGAAGTATAATAATATTATAATAGCCTAGTTATTATAGTATAATAGCCTAATACAAAAATAAATATTATAATATTATATCAGACATGAAGTATAATAATATTATAATAGCCTAGTTATTATAGTATAATAGCCTAATACAAAAATAAATATTATAATATTATATCAGACATGAAGTATAATAATATTATAATAGCCTAGTTATTATAGTATAATAGCCTAATACAAAAATAAATATTATAATATTATATCAGACATGAAGTATAATAATATTATAGTATAATAGCCTAGTTATTATAGTATAATAGCCTAATACAAAAATTAATATTATAATATTATAGTATTTCACCAACTCAAATTTAATATGGTCACAAAATGCGTAAATTCTGCTAATAGATATCAAACTCACATTCTCAATCGATTGAGACTCACATTCCGCTAATAGACCAGTGCGGTCCAGGGCTAACAACGAGCCGTGCTGGGCCAGGCCGCGGGCTCAAAATCATGCTGCGTTTCCAATGACGGGCCACGCTCCTCTAAAAACCCGCCCTTAACACATCTCTCTTAATAAACAAACGTCACACAACATCACAAACAAAACGAGTGAAAACTATCAACCCGATCTCATGAAAGTGCATATAATAGCACAAGTTTTGTTTCGATTTGGCGTACTGTTTATACGCAAAAATGGACTTTGGCGTGCATATGATACGCAGTGGGTAGGATTAGGGTTGTGGGGTAGATGCGTATCATATGTATGCCAACAAATTTAGTATCATATGCACGCGAAAACTGCTTATTATATGCACGCCAACAAATTGAAAACTGCATATTATATGCACGCCAAACACGTGCGTCTCATATGCACGCCAAAGTCAATTTTTGCTTATCAATACCACGGCTTTCTCGTTTTATTTGGCGTACTATTTATACGCATTTTCATGAGACCAGGCTCAAACTATTGCAAAATAAACTTTCGTCCTTACAAAGATTTAAAAAGACCCCAGCATCGATATTTTACCAATAATTAACGATAAAAATGTTATAGTGACAGAAATTTACATCAGTGATGCCAAATCCAATTATTATGTATAATTTGACATAAAAAGAAACACATAGGCTACTTGTTTAGTCGCGGCTGCTTTGTAACAGAAATGTATAACTCAGTCAGTTTAAGTCCAAGGCATGCACGTACAACACAATAGAAACGCATATGTTTGCGTTAAAGGGGTCATATGATGCGATTTCAATTTTTCCTTTCTCTTTGGAGTGTTACAAGCTCTTCAAGTTCAAGTTTCAAGTTTCAGTTTATTTATATAGCACGTATAAAACAGCCACACTGCTGACCAAAGTACTGTACAGAAATTCTAAATAGTAAAAAGAATATAAAAATCTGCACAGCTACACAATTAAACAGGGTCTCGCCTTAATAATAAAATAAGTAAATATATTAATAACACAAGAGAAACAAAGTATAAACCCATAAAAGACTAAGCAAAGACCATAATAGAAAATTATTTATAAGCCAAACAAAACAGGTATGTTTTTAGGAGAGATTTAAAAGTGGACAGAGAAGGGGCAAGTCTAATCTCTAAAGGGAGGCTATTCCACAGCCGCGGCCCAACCACTGAAAAAGCACGATCCCCTCTACGTTTGAGCTCTTGGTGCATAAAGAAGATATGTAAAGTTGCAAAGACTAAAGTCTCAATATGTGGAAAATAATGTGTTTTTTTAACTTTAAACCGCATAAACACATTTCATTACACCAAATACACAAAATAATGTTCTTTTTAGCAGCATCATATGACCCTTTAAATTTGACTGAGATTTACAATGAATAACAACTTAAATTAATCGCATGAAGCTAGACTTAATAGTCTGACTAAGGGCTATTATGATGCATTTTTTTTTGCCAATTTTGGAGATTGAAAGCCCCTGGTTCTGGTTCATAAACACCTTTCATTACACCAAATACGCCAAATAATGTACTTTTAAGCAACATCATATGACCCCTTTAAGCTTCTAAAATATTTGTGCACCTTTTTGTACAAAGTAGACTACGGTCAAAGTTTATTAAGAGACTAGGCTATAAGGAGGATATTGCAATAGGTTTAATATATAAAAATTATATAGTCTACCTTTACTTATAGCCTATATGCTTATACTTTTTCATTTTTATATATAATATATATTATGACATACAATATATATATATATATATATATATATATAGCCTATAATGCATGATCGCATTAAAATAGTCCGCAATCCGAAAATAAATAAATAAATCACATTAAATATAGTCCGCAATCCGTAAATAAATAAATGAACGTCAACTGAACGAGGTCAACTGACGCGCCAGCAGCTTTGAGTCACGTGAGTCTTGGATAGGCATTTACGGTCATTCAAAGCTGATATCTTGATTGTGTGAAGAGAAAACGCGTTATCAAGGAGCCGCATGCACAGACACCAAGAAAAGGCTACAAACTATTTCACATAAGGTAGGTAACTAACAATATTTTGTCTCGGAAAAAAATAGTCTAACATTTTACTGAAATAATTAAATAGCAATTGAGCCTTTGTGACAGCTTAACACTTTATTTTTTAAGGACCAAGTCTCACTATTAATAAGTAGACAATTATGAGTTTACTGAGGCAAAATCGTAGTTAATAGTTAGTTAGACTAATAGTGAGAATTGCACCTTAAAATAAAGTGTGACTATATTGCAGCGGTGCCCAGTCCTGTTCCTGAAGATCTACCTTCCTGCAAAGTTCACAACACATCTGAACCAACAAATTAAGAGCTTCAGGGGAACTTGATAATTACATACAGGTGTGTTTGATCAGGGTTGGAACTCTTTGGGTGGGCTATAAATCTCCAGGAATGGGACTGAGTACCCCTGATATAGTGGTTTAATTGTACAGCAGATTTAATTTGTTTGGTGTCTGCCAAAAAAAAAAAAAAAAAATATTGCATTTAGACATTTGTTGGATATGGTTTAAACGTTCTTTCTTTGTTCTATACTGTGGAAAGTCACAATACTTTATAACACACTGATAATATAAATACATGAAATAGAGTAAACTGTAGAGTACAGCCTGAGGCAAAACATACTCTTTTATGTAAAACATTATCAAAACACAATTTACTGACATCTACTGGAAAAAATGAAAAAGGGTTGGTCATGTTTGATAAATGTCAAGTACAATAATTCAAAGTTTAAATGCAATATATGCTGTTAGGCTGGACATGGGAAATATTCAGACTGTTTAAAAGTAATGAAGTCATCAAGAATTGAGAGGT